TTGACTTCAGAGTATACCCCAGTTTTTAGCAGTAGTCTGACATCTTGTGGGCAGTGTGAAAAACTGCTCTCATAATGAGCCCAAGGTGGCATTGCTACAGCCCACAAATCATTAGCATGACCACATGACCCTGCTGGAGGACCCAAAAAATGCAAAGTGCATTACATTTGCTTTGGGTTTTTATATTTAGCTCTGCTTTGTGTTAATTTGTTCACACATATTTGTTTTAACAAGATATCTGAAGGAGAACTTGGCCCATTTTTTAATTCATATATGTTATGGTCTAAGACAGTCTAAAAATATCAGTTAACATGAACAGCTCTCTCCCAAATCCTAAAACTGCTAAAGCTCATAGGGAATGAAGTCTGAAGCTGCTCCATAGACACTACACTGGGAGAGATGTTACTGATGACACTGAGAACACCCAGGGGGATGATCCGAGTATATGGGTACATTTTCTGTTCAGTACTGAGAACACTACAACAGAATGAAGCTCATTTGTAAAAAACCCAAACCTCATGTGGGTCCACAAAATCAGGCTCCCATTCATGCTCTGTGGAGCAGCTCCAGACTATACTTTTCGACATCACAAGCTGAAGAATTATTTCTCCTGTTTCTGGCTTTGAGAGAGAGTAGCTCATGTTAACAAATATTGATTAAACTTCCCTTGACCATGGAAACAACATATCATATTATATTACATCCTACTGAAATTCATAATTTAGGTAGTGTTCCCCTTTAACATAGGGCCCACTATAGCCTACAAGACAGGGACCAGACAAGTAATAATGCAGGTGCAGCCTTTAGATCCTTTTTTACTGAGTTAATATTGTGAGTTACTGTTGAGAAATTAGACATTTATCAAATGGCCACAAATCAACACACAATGCACAGAGTCTTGGCCCCTAAATCTCTGGAGTCCTGATACAGGACTGAGATAGACCAGTGTCAAGTGACAGTATTTGTCACTAGGAAACTTCACAGCTTTTACTTTTTCCCCTTGTGTTGCTTTTATGTATTGTGTTTTGTATCTCAATGGGACCTTCCTGGCTAAATAAAGGTTGGATAAATAAATAAAAGGCAGGGTAAGAAATGCTTTGGAAATGTTTACCATGACCTGAGAGAAATTGTGCTCACCTGTTCAGAGAAGAGAGAAGTTGAGATTTTGGCAGATGAGGAGAGCCTTCAAATGTCCACAAAGCTGATGGGAATACGTCACCAAATCGAGATTCAGATTCAGTTTAGATAAACTAAATCATTCATCTGGTAATATTGTTATTAAAACGAAGTATAAACGACAGTAGCTGCAGCTAGGTCAGTGGAACCACTAACAATACCACGTTGACAACTCTTACTTCCCCTATGTAACTTATCCATGCTGCCAAAAATACCAATTAGTTATTTTTTGTACTAGATGAGGATTTTATTTTATGTACTGTACTTGTGTCAAAGTGTCACATTCATCTCCACAATCCGCAAAGAAGCGAAAAGTATCTCCGGAACCTTGTTGCTCGTAAACATTTCGGATTCGTTTGACGGACGGCCCGGTGTCACACCAATTTCAGTCCGTCACGCAAGGCAAAGAAGTGGACAAGCAGAGGCATTTCTGTAACGTTAATTTAAATAGTTTTTTACAGCCTGTATTGTGAAGACTTTTGATGGACTGCGTGGAGCAGAAAGACACGGAAGCGACGGCGCCTTCAGTCATTGACCGATATTACACACGGTGGTTCAGAGCCGGTAAATAAACACATCACTGAAATGTCTCATGCTGTGTTAGCTGTGCGGCAGCTAAGCTAACGATAGTTGAAGTTTAGACATCAGAGAGAGAGAGAGGGAGCACTAAATTTTGACAATTACCCAGCACAGTGCACTTAATTGAAATATGTTAAATGTATTGTGATTGTTTTTATTTAGATTTGAAGGGGAAACCGTGTGAGGACCACTGCATCCTGCAGCATTCAAACAGGTAACAACACCAGGTGGTGATAATTATCAAACGATAGTCATTTTTATAACTGGTAATATAATTTACACTGCAGTTGTTTGGGACAAATAAAACTAAAATGTTCTGTTTTCCTGAGACTACTTTATGTTTTATTATAGGTTTTGAGGCTTTTGTAGTAGCATTAAATTATATGGAAAGAGATAAATAAAATATTGTTTATGGGTTTACTACATTATTAGAGACACCTTCCATAAATGTTGAATGCAATCCACTAATACAACAACACTAAGTACAGCCTCACAAAAAGGTGATATTACAGGACATTTGATTGCATATTACAGTGTGCAGAGGTTTCTATTTTTCTGGTAACCCAGTGTATTTAATTCTTTTACTCCCTGAGCTGCATTTGAATATTGTGAATGTGATACTCCCTATGAAAGGAATACTGCTCTCCACAAACGACCATTCGTATAATATTACTCACCACATGTAACATTTGTGAGGAAACCTGTTTTTCTCGCTTGCCTCCACGGTGAACGTAGAATCCAAAAAAGACCAACATTCTTCGTGAATTGAAGTAAACGCTGACCATGTTTAACATCAGCAAAGCTATATGAGAACATCTATTTACAACTCACACACATCTCCTACAGTTAAGTCCAAGTCCTATGCTCACTTTCTTCCCAAACACATGCATTTTTGCTAATTTGTTACAATAGCTTCCCATGCACGTGCATACTTACAAACACTTGACATCATTAACTTGGTATCTTTAAAAGCTTTGGAAGGCACACTTTTTAATTTGTTTTTGTTCACTGCAGACTATGCATCGTCACGTTAGCGGAGACTCACCCCATCCTACAGAATGGGCGGCAAATCAAAAGCATCAACTACCAGATCAGTAACTGCTGCAGTCGACTGAATAATAAAGTCTCTGGGAAGTCCAAGCGGGTAAATTCACACTAATTTTTAAAACTACATATGATTTTATTCTATGTGCATACATTTTTACTCACCTAGCTTCACATCACCCTTTTTTAAAATGTCAGCTTGGCTTTAAATGCCTCTCAATCTTTTTTTCCTCCATTCCTAGGGGGGTCAGTTCCTTACTGATTTCGCACCTCTGTGTAGGATAACTTGCACAGATGACACTGAATACACGATCTACAGGTGAGATAATGGTTTGTGTTTCCAGGCATACATTCTGCATGCTTTTATGTCACCATCAGTCACACAAATCTATTATCTTTTCAGCTGCATCAGGGGCCGTCTTCTTGAGGTCAATGAAAGTATTTTAGAAACACCTTCTCTCTTGCTGGAAAAGGTAAATATATATTTACACACTGTAATATTATTGTCATGTGTACATGGAGATACCATGTATATGTTTGTCTTTCTGAGAATTCTGCCCCCTAATGACCATTTGTATAACAATAGCTTACACAGTGTGAAGTTGAAGCCTGTCTCAGTTAGACACCTGGTCTGGTTGCCCAAGCAGTTCTTTTCTTTTTATAGCAGTTCTTCGTACGTACAAAACCGAGTTGTTGGCTACATCAAATTATGCTTACATTCCTTGATTACCATGTAAGTTATTCATATTCCTTCAGTCCGTGAGTGTCCCCAGATCAAAGGAATCAAACAGGTTTTTCATAAAACATTAATCCAAGTTGTTAGTATTATTTTAACAGGATAAAGTGGTGTTGTGTTGGTGCCATAATCCTCGAGTGCTGTAACTCTCTGTCGCTCCGATGCGCTGTCTGACGGAGCTAGATCAAATGAATGATTCATAATTCATATATTAACTGCCTAATTTTTATACAATATTCATACTGGCTCAGTTTGATTGTATTTCTAATTTATGCTGAGCAACAGCTTTGTGTGAAAGGAGTTAAAGGCCTGTCCCAAATATATGCCCATTGATTTCAGTGATTCAAGCAACTAATAGCCCTGGCTATTAATTGAAATTTTATGGTATATCAAAACATCTGTTTCCAATCCCAACTAACCTTTTAAAGCACCAAAGCCACACAATAACTCGACTAAATGATCGAAGCAGTGGTAGATCAGCAGCTACTGTGTTCATTGAGGTAAATTACTGCTATTTTTCAATGGAGTCTGGCTTTGAAGAGAGCATAGATAAGTTTTACTTTTAGTTCAGTTCTTTGTTAGAGAGAGAGCGCTGTCTGTTTGGAAAGTACTAAGCATATGACTGGATAGTGAAGAATTGGTTGGTTGGTTTTTGATTCTTAATTCTATGTGGGGCACAAAGTTTTCTTAACAAATTCAACTTAACACAAGGTAATTAATTGATATACAAACAGTCATTTTGTGGAGTGAAGTACTCCTTTAAATGCCCTCTTTGATCAGGCCATACAGTTGCATTATTGTAAAAACTATTTTAATATATTGTTTTTGACAATATTACTCATGAATGCATGACAGTTTCAGTTTCTCAACCACGGTCACTTAAGTCTCATCTGATCTTAACAAAATAAATGTTTAAAATGTTTTAATAGCATTTTCTCTGTCAAATCTGAACAGCCATTCACTGAAGGATACATCGCTGTCATCCTGCCAAAGTTTGAGGAGAGCAAGAGCATAACAGAGAATCTTCTGAGCAGAGATGAGTTTGAGAGAGTTGTCTCCAAACGTACTGTTGACCAGTCTCAACCATCATGACGGAGCTCCACATTCTTGGTTTATTTAAGTCAAAACTGGAGGCCACTCCCACCAGGTTGGGTGAAGACTGAGGACCTTAACCTGGAAAGTGACATTTACATGTGGTGACTTCAAAGGGAGTATTGCATATAATGCAAGCTGTGTGCACTGTGCCTCTATACTTATATATTGTCATTGTTTTAAAAATCGAGGAAGGTCTCAGGATGCACTCTGCATTCTAGTTTTTTATTTATTGCTTGTTTTTTTTTTCTAATTTGAAAAATGAGGAAACAGAGGGAAACATAACAAATTACTGGAAGTCATGTTAATATCCTCAACTCATGTTCAGTTTGAATTATTTTTCTAGAATATCAATAAACACAACTGACAGTGATTTAAGAAAAATATTGTTTATTTTTTTATGTGTCACTTTTATTAACCTTTCAATTGTCAAAAGAATAGATGGTCCAAAACTAGAGCTATGATTTCTTCACATCTGTAGCATCACTACAATACCCAGCATCCTTAGCTGCTCTGACACTGTACAAAGCATCTCTAAAGCTTAACATGTGTTATTCATCTCAGTCATCATCACACCCTCACCTAGTACCAGTCATTCAATACCTTAGGATACATACAGTATATATATATATATATATATTTATCTATGCTTCAAGTACCATATTATACATACCATATACCATTTAATACATATTGGCCAACAAGGCAGCTTCACAATGATAGTCTTCATAACAAGTACACTTCGAGGCTCCGTTTGACACAGACGCCAGCTCAGAATTATCTTTTTGTTTCTTTTGTGAGGAAAAAAATGTCCCAAGTGTATCTATATGCACAATATGATTTAATAACAGGACAGTATAAAGTAAAATCCTGTCATCTCCAAAGCATCGTAGTGATGGAGAAATCAGGCCCAAATAAAAATACGTCTCCAGTGACGTACACAGGAGCTGTAAGAGCTTTATATTTCACACTAGTAGCAAGCTGAAGACCACAGCGTCTTCATGAGGACAATCATATTTGGCATTAAATTGTGATTTTTGCATTTTGTTACTAACATGGCTAACATTCCATGGCAAACCGTATGGAAGGAAGTCATTAATCTTATGGTGTGGTTGACTCTTAAAATACTTTTTTTTCCATATGAGATGACTACAGTGCCAGTGATGAAGGACAAAATGTACCACTATGTCTAATATTAGAGAACAAGTGTTAATATTACAAACCTATGACACACTGACCATAAGAGACTCAAACACAAGGGTTTGGTAATGATGGCATCATGCATGGTGGGTTTTCAGCCATTTAACTGTGTCTCCCCCCCACCACCACCACCACCACCACATTTGGCTAACATGTGCAACACGATTACAGTACACCACAAAGCAAATAGGCTTGTTACACAGAGGCACATAGTGAAGACAGATGTATGGCTGAGCTGAGCATTAAGAGGAGGTGCTATCTGATTTCTGATCAGTTTATCAACTCAATATCCAGAGAAGTGATAAAAGTGACTCCAAAATCAGGTTTGTCTCGGGGCCCCTCTCTCCTTTAAGGAGGCTCGCTGCAAATGGCAAAGTCAGTGTTGGCTGATTGTCTCCATCTTGTGGACTGGGGTGGAACTGGTGCTTCGGGGAAGAAGCTACCCTGGGTTTAAACTGGCCCTGGGCACAGCGAGCTTGGATCTGCTTTTTCCTCTGTAAACCTTACATGTATTCATCCAGACAGCAAATACAAACCCTGACTGACCCGAGGCGACCATCTTCACCACACTGCTTAGCCCACTCTCTGGTGGGTGCATGAGGATGAGGGGAGTGACGTATTTACTGGATTACATGTTCTCCAGAGTTGTGAGGTTGGCTATGTGCTGCTCCAAGAGAGAATAGTGGACAAAGGAGGTGACAATGTCCTGGATTATTTGCTCTCCAGGAGGTTGAGACAGGCCATGTGCTGCTCTAAGGATTTGACACCGAAGCCGTTGCTGTTCTTGCCGTTGAGCGCTCCCTCCTCTTTGACAGGTGTGGACGCATCCTGCCTCTCTCTCCAGTCCTGCGGGGAACCCAGGCTACTCCTCTCTGACTTGTACTGCAAATGAACACAGCATGGGGACACAATGAATGGAAAGACACTAAATATGGGAAAAAAAAATCAAGTGCTTGACTTCTTTTGAAAGTTCTGACTACTTCTGTAACATTTTTCTTATTTTGTTTTATGCTGTTTTATTTGCTGTATGTGCATATTAAAAATAATAATAAGCAGATGTAACAACACACTTTTAGTTAAGCCCCACCCCGGAAGTTGATGGGATTGGTTCCTTAGATAAGTGATTTATGCACCTTAGTTGTCTGACTCTATGCTACTTAAACTGTCATTGCAGTCCCAACGTGGAAATGCTCAGTGTTTACCCCTTATTCTGCTTGTGGTATTTCTTGTAGTGTATAACAATCACCATATGGACGTGTTATCAGGTTAAATCCTAGATTTTCACAGGAGGGGGCCTTAAACAATGGATCACATGACTAATCATTGTATGTTAAAGGGCTCACTCTTTGTGATGAACCCCCGAAAAATGATTACCCAACTACACTCATATTCTCTTCAGCTTTGGTTGGTGGAGACCAAAAACAGAGCTAAATGTAAATTAAATATTGGACTAGCATTCACCTACTGGCCAGGAACACGACTATAAAACGGATGCACTTTTTGCTCCACGTCTGCTGAACTCTTTGTTAACAAGTGGCCAAAAATCAATTATTTTAAATGTAATCATTCTTTCTTGGGCTCCATAAATGTTTCTGAGTTCTCTCTCTCTTAGTTTGGTAGATTTCCATGTAGCATGCGAAGCTACTGCAAGTGTCATTCATTCAGCTATGAGTCCTGTTCCTTCACCTTTCTGTTGAGCTTGTTGCAGAATGGGAGCAGGGAGAGGACCACAGTCAAGATCGCTCTGGTTGTCTGAATGGATGAGTCCACCTAGAGACGAAGAAATAAAATGATAAAGTTTGAGAGGGGTAACATGGATACACATTGGATACTAATTCATATGAACATACAAACGCTTCAACTATATATACTACTATAAATACAGTGGATAGGCACATTGTTGCTGTGTTTTCTTGTTAGATTTGCTCGCAGCTCGCACAGAAAATCCACAAGATGTCCATGGCTAAGACTAGTAATCCAAACTGAGATAGTCTGTAATTCTTCCTTGCATCCAATTCTGTCACTGTCACATCACATGACAGCGCTGGATGTGTGAGAAACATCAGATTTTGTAGCTGGGAGCTCAGCTTTCCCTGTTGAAATAGCACACTTTGAGGTATCCCTCTTCAATGGAATGCATTAGCTATCAATACCAATTGGACACCCACGTCCCCTTTAACATTTCCTGATCAGTGCTCTGCCGACCCCTGACGGACACACACTCTCCCATTAGTGACAAATGATAAAGTGAACATCAGGATGGAGAGACAGAGGGATGGGAGCCAATACATATCAAAGGGATGCTCATTAATCAACAGAGGACGCGCTATTCTTCATCCCGTCCTTTTGATTCCAACCTTCGCCTCTATTACAAGGTGACCTGAGGCAGCTCATCTTTGCCCAAGATGCTCATTAATTCCTCACAGACCTTCATTAATCTGGCGCCCTGTGTTCGATAATAGTGTTACTCGCAGATCACTCAAATATTATGCCGTAGCCAGTAATGAAGTAAAACAGTTAGTCAGGCTCTATTGTGTGATGCCCATCTGTTGTTGGGGATGTATTTTTGATGCTTTTCGCAGCTAATTATGCCTTTAAGAAAAAAAAGTCTGCTGTGTACCACTCAGTGTGATGTTACTAATTTGATGTCTACTAAACGAAACAGACTCGGGGCATAAACATGGATTCATTTTTTATTTTTTAAAAAAGTGTACACACAAACAAAAAAAGGGTAGAGAAACACAAGCGCAGTATGAGTACCTTCTGGAAGGTGGCAGTCTTGCCCTGTACAGGAGTCTTGGCCCCCATCTGCAACTGTTGGCACAACGCCACCAGTTTCTCCATCTCTGTCATCACCACAGACTTTTCCTCATCAACCAGCTGGAACAGAGAGAAAGACAGACAGAGGGAGAGATGTTTTTCAGGACAGCGGAGATGGTTTATGACGGTATTATCTAGGGAGACTGGGTTAATATGTGCAGACATTGATAGATGTACTGGACTAGATTTACAGTGCTCTTGTTCAAACACAAATCATCATCACAAAAAGCCAAAAAAAAGGAGGGTGAAATAAATTAAATTTTAGTGTAGCTTGATGTAATCCATCAGCAACAGCCAGGTCATGATCTACTGCTTAAGTCTGTTATCCAGCTGGGTTAATCCCTCGATCTCAGTCATGGGGGCCATCAATCTACTTCACTTACATGCCACCAGCGACCTAAAACCACAATCTCTTTTATTCAGCGTAGCTCTACTCATGGCTGACAAAAAGTACATAAAACCTCTTAAACCTCAGTTACAAATGCGTAAGCCTAATTTGCATAAATAGCCTCATAATTTCAGCGAGGGCAACGCAGGTGTGTTTCAAGTGTGTTTGGTGCCACAGAAGTATGGGAGTGGAGCGTGAGACGGAGGGACTCCATTAGTACCAGTTTGTTTGATGTAATTAATCAGAAAGCATGAGGCAAGTTGAAGAGCCGAGCCTCCTGATTATGAATTAGTCCTGGGCGGTCACGGTCGACTCCCCCACCCTCGTCCCCTCCACACATGCACACGTGCACAAACATACACACCCACGGACGCAGCGGTGACAAATGGCGGTCGTTAATGGCTGTCAAAAAGAGCCATTTAATTACACTTGGAGGACCTGGGGAAGAAGTTGGTGGAGGGCAAGAGGAAGGAAGGCACTGAGGCTATGTTTGTTTGTGGGATCTCGACTCAGAGAGGAAAGGAGGAATGGTGAAAAGTGTGTAACGGCCTTAATTTCCTCCTCTCGCTGTGTGATTTATAAGGCCTGGCACTGTGGCACACCAGAATGGGTGATATGGGTGTGTATATGTGTGAGAGGCGTAACGTAGGTGGGGGCACAGGTGCCAGTGTGTGTGTGTCTGCATACAGATGGGTCAGCAGCTCACCTTGCGCATAAGAAAACAGTTTACTTTTCTCTTTGGCTTTTTGCTTTTACTTACTTCAGTGCTGATTTTTATAGCTTTACTTTACGGTAGTCAATCAGATGCCACCAGAGAAACAAGAGCACACTGCACAAACACATATTTGATTTTTGTGTGTGTTTAAAGTGAATATAGACAATGCTTTTGCTTTAACTTATCATTACAGTACAGTAGGATAATGACACCGACTGCCTCTAGATTGGTTCCCTGTATGCCTCGCTTCCACTGTGCAACCCTCTCTGCCACTGGGTGCGATCTCCCAGGAAAATAAAGGCTCAAATTACAGCACAAATGAAGCGCGTCAACCAAAACAGAAAGAGGATAGCACTTGTTTTTTCCTGGTAACTACTGGTACCCATCCCCATTTACTAAGAGGTATCAATGTAAGTGACTGTGGAAGCTGTGGTAGTTGCTGGACTCTGAGGAAAACGGAAAGCAAGTCAGTTGTCTTTGCAATAGAGCTGCAGGGATAATTCGATTAGTCATCAACTAATTTGATAATCTGTTCTCTAATCTAGAAAAAAAAAAAATTCTGATTCTAGCATCTTAGATGTGAATATTTTCTGCTTTCTTTACTCCTCTTTGACAGCATATCTTTGGGTTGTGGAAAAAACAAGACACTTGAGGACGTCATCGTGGGCTTTGGGAAACACTGACCAACATTTTTCCACACTTTTTTGACATTTTAAAGACTAAACAACCGATTGATTAATTGAAAAAAGTAAGATTAATTGACAATTCAAAAACATAATCATTAGTTGCAGCCCTGCTTTGCAACAGCAGCACCAACAATAATAACACTTGGAAATTGAAAAGTTGTCTGTTTCCACCTTAATATTCTACTGTACTAACTGTATTACTACTTATACAAAAGGTCTTCTTTCTTTTACAAAACATGCATTACATTTATTTTAAGTGAGTGCTTACCGTGCAAAAATACTTGGAAATTGATTTATGTGAGCACACTGTCATCTGGTATTCAGCCTTAAACTCTGTGTGCGTGTGTGTGTGTGTGTTTAAGAGTGAGAGAGATTTATTGCACTGATATATACCTGAGTGGAAAAAGTGCGGAGAGACGAGCACAGCTGGAGCCCCTCTTCAGAGAGAACCTTACAAATAAGTCAGAGAAAAAAGACATAAATATCAAAAAAAATTACACAAATACGAGTAAAAGTATAATTTTTTTAAACTTCCAACAAGAAGATATTCGATGGCAAGAAAAAAAAAAAGCACAGTCTGTAAATATTATGAGATTTTACGTCTTCTCAGCTCTTCTTATCAGCACGCCTTCCCGTCTTTTTCCCCTCGCGTTCCTCTTCCCATCTTATCTCCCTCGCCCGCACCAAATGGAATAAATCCTGGCTGACATTTTGGGCCCTGATTCTACAAATTACTCCACATTATTGGCAATGATCCCAATTCAATAGAAACACTCCTCCGTGCAACCTTGTTTGTCTGACGTGGCGAGGAACACACAGCGCTTTATTTCCATCAAAATGATCCTAGTCACACCCTATCAGATCTGCGAGAGGAGAGTGAAAGAAGGGATGCTGCCGGCATTTACTAACCTATTGATCTGCCGGCCACAGTATGTCTTTGCTTTAATGAAACAACAGATGCATTCATTTACAACTTCAATAAAAAAGGGAGGAATATAGAACAGGAGGTGGAGAGGAGGAGAGATTAGCGGATATGGACGCACATACCTCGGCTTGATGAAAAAGATCTAGTGTTGTTTTCAGCAGCCCCTCCCCTCTGGGGAATCAATATGGGGAAACACAGAAAATAGGGAGAGGAAACATGGATGAGAGAGAGATGGATGAGGACAAAATATATCCACAGCAATCAACAAAAACACTGACTTAGATGAATCGTAACGATTTTATTGTCACAATGAGTCATAGTCAACTTTGTCACTGCCTCTAACTATGCCTGGTAAATATCGATAGCGACGGGCTTGAGACTCTCATTAACAGTAAGCCTTTAAAGAGATTCATGTGAATGTCTAAGAAGCTTTACAGAGTTCAGCTCTGAGATGAATTTAACAGTGCAATTGGAGTATGTGCGTGTCTGTGTACTGTGTAGGGGTGCATCGATCTTAATGTATTGATTCAATAATCAATGACTGATACAGTGACTTAAACCAGCAGTGAGTAAGAAAATGTATAAATAATACATGTAATTCATTTAGCTATAAGAATAGCTGCTAGGGTCATTTATGCGATGTAAAAGTGCTCTAGCTTACTATGGGTGACTAGTAAATATCAATTATTTTCTCCCTGAACCCTGACACTTATTACTGAGCTGAATTTTATACCTTTGTTGAATGATCTTGCTGTTAATCCATGGTTTATGGCTGTTGGGAAAGGTTTGCCTTCAGGGCTTTGAGCCAGCAGCCACATGACATGAGCTCAAAACATCCTGGTTTAGGTTGAAGTTAAGGCTAACTTATCCCATGTGTTGTTTATGCACATGGGATAGGTGTGGAGTCGATATAAAGTCACTTTACTGCACTTAACAGGTTATAATTATTTACATTATTTATGTGTTGTTTTTATCTTTTTAGCAAAAAAGAGAGAGGTGGGAGCTTCTTCTGTTTCGATTATGTTCAATGGGCATATGATATAGGGCTGCTCCCTGACACTCGGAGATTTGAATCATCAGTCGAGGACCCCTCAGTTGACTGAGATTGCTTTAAGTCGAGCAGCAGTTTTTTAAATTTAATTTTTTGCCAGTCAGTGTGCAGTGTACTTCTGGGGACATTTTGGTCCCTAGATTTTGCTGCTGAGTTCGCACTCTTCACTCTCACGCTGCTCTTTGGTACAGGCAGCTGTGACTGGAGGCAGCAGCCCAGAGGAGAAGAGGTTTTGCCCCAAAAGGCTCTGAGATAATGTTATCTGCTGCCTTCTGCTTGGAAATGTTGAGTTTGGTACTCAGAGGAACTTCATATGATACAGTCTCTGGCTTTTGTTTGCTACGTAGTGTCCATTAAAAATGTTGTTGCACATTTACGGTCCGTTGTTAGTGCAGTTAGCTTATTTACTATATATTACGTTAACATCACTGTTGCACTAAATGTCCTCTGATCCCCGTTCACACCCTCAAATTCTCTATGGAAAAAAGGAACAAATGGTTGAACAGCCGAATCTGGCATAATTTTGAGTCAGGTGCAGCCCTGATATTGTCTCATATCAATCGCAGGCCCATAAACTGAGTCGAATCAAAATCATATTGTGGCAAGCATTGTGATATCGGCAAATATCATTGTCCAAAGAATCAACATAATATCATTTTGTGATGAAACTAGTGATTTACACCCCTAGAAGTGTGTACTACAGTTCAGTCACCTGGTGAACAGGTGCATGTTGTAGGCCATACTGGCCAAGCTCTGGCTCTGTCGGACGATGTCATGCTCCTGCTCCTCCCATTTTTCCACCTCTGTGTCCACATCTGACGACAGCAGGCGGAGCTCCAGGCCCAGCTTGGCCATGCTTGTCTGCTCCTGCACACACACACACACACACACACACACACACACACACACAGAAAAACACACCCAAAGTAATTCTATATGGGAAGGACTGAAACATGATGGATGTCATTTTAAAAATGCATATTAATAAACATTATTTTCATTTGTTAACACCATAATAACTTCTATAATCAGCATAATCCCGCTTCCTGTGGTGGTACAGTGTGTGAAAAAGTGCCGGCTCTGCAAAAATCGCAGCCTATTAACATACGAACGCCATCGATTCTTCAAGCGAGTGACACAAAGTTTCCTGGAGATGAATACACTGCTGTCAGAACAGGGTACAAGACACGTCGTGATGTATTGTGCTGAGAGCCAGAGGAGTTTATGGTGTATGGTACCTCTGCATCCAACTTGACAGCCTTGGCAGTCTTCAAGTTAGCTGAGTGTTTCTGTTGGAAGAGAGAGTGGCATTAATCAGAGGATTACAAACCATTGGATGGCTGGAATATTCATGAGGATGGATGGTGGGATACTCACCCCGGGTCTGGGGAGTGATAAATAAGGTCTTTTGTCTCCTGGGAGAAGAGAGATATTGTTATTATCTTAACAGAACGCAACAAAAAAACTAAAATAATCACATTATTTCTCTTTGAATGACTGTGTTTAGGTAGTGACACAGACAATTAAGGTGGCAATTATGTTTATTCAGTGATTATGGCGCTGTAATTGTTTTGCTTTTATAACTGTCCACCCTTGACACATTTTTATTTTTCATCATAAACACGAACAGCATGGTTCATTTCAGTCGACTACAGGGACCATAAACTCTACTGTCATGTTCATGGAGGAAGATTAAGAGAAAGTAATAAAAGCAAATCTCTCCAAAGTGTCAATATGACATTTTAACGCAGCGTTTTGGCTTCATGGGAATACAAATGTGCAATGGATGTGATCCTTTCACCGGCTGAGCTGCACTCCAAAATATTTACTGCATTTTATGTGAAAGTTCTTTAGGGCAAACACATCTTGGGAATATGCCCAAACATTCCCCCTGCCTTTGAGAGTTCTTGGGTTATACAAACACGTGTGCACGGACAAATACACGCACAACAGGGCTGTCACTGAGGATGCAAGCAGCTGGTTTGTAAGGCTTGATTTGGACACTTCAGGTAACTGGCACAATGATGAATAGAGAGAGGGAGTACAGAGGAGCGATGAATGCCTGGGTGTTTAATGGCATTGACGTTGCTCCTATTACAAAATGCTTCCCACGGTCCACGATGATTAATTCTTAAAAGATATGTGCCTGCATGCGCCTTGCTTTGCTTCAACTTTAACTTTCATAAGCTTATTGAAGTGCTCAGGGACAAAATGATTCACCAAGGTTTTATCAGGGAGTTTCATTCTTTCAGGCTAAAATGCCACTGACAGTACATTTTGCCTGTATTCGCTTCAGCTTCTCACTCTCTCTGAAAGACTCTCTGATCCTCATGTTATGTGCTGACCTGCCCAAATGCACACAAGTACCCGTCAACTGAACAAAATCGCACCTCGCCTGCCTTCAAAGACGTCGTTGATCTCTCTCAGCAGCAGGGCCATGTCGCAGAGCTGCGACTCCCAGGCCTCGCAGAACACCTCCAGGTTCTCCTTGGCGATCTTACTGGACGGGTGGAGGGCCAGCGTCTGGGCTGCCGAGATGATCTGAGCGGAACGAGAAAAGTGATATTTAAATAAGGAGGGTCAGTAACCAGGCAGAAAAACTATCCAAGAAAGTAAAAGACAGAGGGACAGATTCACTGCGGTGATTTTCAATTTAATCAGTTGCTGCTGTTCAACTAAAATGGAGTCTTTGTCTGTCTGTCTGTCCGTCAGTGTTCTTAACAACCCTTTATCTGATCAATTCCACACTTGGAGGGTGTATTGATGAGTATTGCTGCAGTGTCGAATGAGAACTCTTGAGATCTATGGGTGATATTCATTAGTAATGCATTAATGTGCACACTGTGCAGTGTATTGAGAGGGAACCGTTGTTACCAGTTATGCCTTTCAGAATCAACACTTTTGTTCCTGAAAATAACCTGGACCTAGGGTTGTCACGATACTAAAATTTCAAACTCGATATCAATATCCAGGAAAATATTCAATACTCGATACCATTTTCGATACAGCAGCAAAAAATTAAGAGGCATGTCATTTTTTAAATAAAGATCAGAACAGTAACATCAATGATGACAACAAAAAATCCCCCCAAAATAAATAACAACCAGAAACAAGATCTGTCCATACAAATGTATTTATCTACAGCCCTGTTTATTTTCTGTGCTTCTGGTGAATTGGCACCATATTTTCGTTGCTGATCAAATAGAGTTGGTAGTTTAGGCTCAGGATGCTCCTGTTTCTACCTCACTATGTGATCAGAGAACCAGGGGTTACGGGAGAAACCAAACATTTTTTCAGCTTCAATCTGTGACTTTACAGTTAACATAACTTTTCAGACAAAAATAATTGTGTTGTCCTGTTAAACTAACATTGTCTATTAATGTTACAGACGGGCATGACTGATAAAGTTTTCTGCTTAGCTCCCACATTAGCGTTAGAAGTTATATTTTAGTTTGATGCTGGCGACACCAGCTGCTCAGCTGCTAGTGAGGGGAGGGGCTATACCTGCCGTCTGCAGCGTGCTGTGTTCACTTCACTAAATATTTCCAAAGAGCGCTTTTTCCTTTATCATTTTTGACCAAAACTGGCTGCTCTGATCCTCCTGCAGCCGCGCTGGCCATATTACAGCAACAGAAATGTGTACATGCATGCACAGCGACGACAACAAGCCGGGTTGCAGTGAGGGCTCTGTGCCTGCCAGACGCTGCCTGCACAGCGCATGTCCGTCGAACCTGTCGTGCCCACCAGACAGGCACTGAGGTGGCGTGCACTATTAGTATCGATACTTGTGTAAATTAGTATTGTATCCGGATACAGCGTTTGAGTATCGACACTTTTCAGAGTATCGATACTTTTGACAACCCTACCTGGAGCCAATAGCTAGCTGTTAGAAAATGACGCATCTGCCCGTCTGTCCTTCCACACCAACACCAGAGCACGAATTTGCATTTCCTAGGGTAGTGAAGGCACGACACACCCTACTCTGCCTTAGGGCGCATTCACACCAGGATAGTCTGGGGACTTGGTTCGGTTGGACTGGGAACGCCAAAAAATTTCACACCTTCACTTGGTTTGGTTCACTTTCACACTGCACTTTTTAAAACGGACCAAAACCATCTGGACAACATCACACAGTTACAACAGCTGCTCGTTAGGGGGCGGTATTGCCCGAAACGACCACTGACCAAGAAGAAAAATAGAACAAGGAAGAAGAAAACCCGGCTCATCGATTGGCCAGGACCGAAAACGGAAATCCATCCCCCTTAGCCGGCTTGATAACTGCAACATATGGTCCTCTGACCATATATCAATAAGCACCTGCACCTCTTCACTACTCCGCGTCTGCCCATGAGACGTTTTCCAACTTTTTCTTTTTTTACCTCTGCTTCTCTGGGTTGGCGCTGTTGGCTTTGTTTTTGTTTTTTTCTACCCCAAATGCACTGCACTCTACGTCACTTTCTCTCTTTGGTTAGCTGAATAGTCCGTTTGCATTTCCCACTGTAAGGGAACCGCACCACAGTTCACTTGCAAGTGAACTGAGACACCCAGTTTTCAAGCAGACCAGGATTCCACGTTCGGTCTGACCAGAGTTCAAATGAGTTCACACCACTCCAAACAAATCGAACTATCCATGGAAGTGGACCAGGGTTCATTTAGAGTGGACCAAATAGCGCCAGTGTGAATGCGTCCTTACTCTGCCTCTGATTTGCTTACCCTGACATTCTCACCCTAACCCTAACCAATCTCACTTCTCTTGCCTAAACCAAACCAAACCCAGCAACAAAGGCAATGTGTACTAGCCAATCAGAGGAAGAGTGGAGCTGATCATACCTTGACTATCCTAGGAAACGCAAATTTGCTAACGAGGCCTGGGTTTGAGGTGGATAACTTTATCATTGCCATAAGCTCCGGTGCAATCCTGCATGCTTGAAAAGTAACAATTTTGATTTTGCATGCAATAGTCCACCTTCTCCTCCCCTGCCTCTGTCACACAATGTCCATCGCGATGTTTCACCGTATACAGCGTCATATGCCAATTCAATAGATACTGCCCAACCCTAGATACGTATGCTCTGGCATTGCTAGGGGACACAACTATGTAATGGCAGGTGTATTGCTCAGGACCCAAGGAAACGCAGTGTCAATTGTGAAGTTGTTTAAATGCTGTTCTTGAGAAAGCTGCAAGCAGCAACACCAGAGGCCAAGCATTTGGCTCGTTCCAAACTGGCACATTTTGAGCAGCCGCTGCACTAGTTGTCTAAAATTAAACCAAAGGGGTTCTCCCACTGAAATCTAAAACACAAGAGTTGAAGCTACTATCTCTTTCAAACTGCACTTTAATACAGGAACTAACACTAGACGATAACGAAACCAAGACATTAATATGTTAAATATTAATGTTTAAACAGTGTTAACAGCTTTAGAAGTCTGTTTTCAAGATGGGTAGCGTTCTGCACTCTCTCTGGGCTGTGGCTGATTAAGTGGGTTACAGTTCTCTTGGAATAATTTTCATTAATCAACACCAACATGGCAAGACAGTAAGACACCTAGTTCACTCTCTTGGGGTTCACATGTCAGAGCCTTGATTCTGCTGCTACACTCATTACACTTGATGCTGTTACACTCATAACTGGCCCCATAAATAAAAGCAGGTAGGGAATAAAATTACAGGTGGAAGCAGCTCACATGTCCAGGACTCCTACAGCTCAAGCCAAGTTATATTAAGATTTTTTTAAAGCCACTCAGACTTAAATTTAAGACTTATTTTACCATAACGAAAATTGAACAGTTAAAAAATGGTCTGCAGTAATCTGTCCAGTGCATGAGAGAAGATTTTTAAATGCCAGCTGATAGACGCTCTTCCCTCCTTTCACCTCTACTATCTCCAACAAAGCACGTACTTAGACTGTGAATGTAGACTTGTTTGTGAGTACCTGCAGGCAGAAACTTTCGACTGTGTTAACTAGTGTGTGTCCTTGATAAATTTGTTATTTAGGAAAGTGTTTTGATCAGTTTTGAGTGGATGAGTTGAGTTTTGTTTAACAGTTTACTTTTTAGAGTTATTGGTGGATTTTCTTGTATTCTTTACTTGAGCACTGTAAATAAAGCACTTGACACTTGAGTAAGAGTGAGAAGCCCTGTTTGTTTGGCATTGCCAAGTTCTTTTCTCTTGTTTTGAATAGACAGGAGTTCAGGTTAGGTTGTTTTTTGTTTAACATTTGTTTTTGCTTGGTACGTTTAAGGACCATTAGTTTATTTTTTTTATAAATACTGTGTAACTGGCCTTCTTTAGGAGTGGGAAGAGTAGGGAGTCACAGCATGTTACGTTTAGGTTCCCCTAGACCGGGGACATAACACAGGGTTGGGGACAATTTTGCTCAAATTTTTATTGTAACATAAAACATGAGTTGGTGATTTTGTGTTTCTAGATCTGCATGTGGGATTCCACTGCCTTGATTCCCATTGTGCAGAGTATGATAAACTTTTTGCGTAAAATACACACCGAGCCCTGTATGCATTGCCTCGTATCGGTGTCAGCTTAGTTAGTTGGTTGGTTGGTTGGCTGGGTGGTTGGGTGGTTGGATGGTTGGTTGGATGGCTGGGTGTGTTGTTGGTTGGATGGCTGGGTGGGTGGTTGGTTGGTTGGTTGGGTGGCTGGATGTGCTGTTGGTTGGATGGCTGGGTGGGTGGGTGGTTGGTTGGTTGGGTGTGTTGTTGGTTAGATGGCTGGGTGGTTGGTTGGTTGGTTGGTTGATTGGATGGGTGGCTGGTTGGCTGGTTGGTTGGTTGGTTGGTTGGTTGGTTGGGTGGCTGGGTGGCTGGGTGTGTTGTTGGTTGGATGGCTGGGTGGGTGGGTGGGTGGTTGGTTGGTTGGGTGTGTTGTTGGTTAGATGGCTGGGTGGTTGGTTGGTTGGTTGGTTGGTTGGTTGGGTGGCTGGGTGGTTGGTTGGTTGGTTGATTGGTTGGTTGGTTGGTTGGTTGGGTGGCTGGGTGGTTGGCTGGTTGGTTGGTTGGTTGGTTGGTTGGTTGGGTGGCTGGGTGTTTGGTTGAGTTAGGTAGGTAGTCAAAGACTGATTTGTCATTTACATACCATTCATAGTTGGTCAATCATAATGAAATAATACCTATCAATGTAATAAAAATAAAATGCAACTCTGAGGCCAAAAACTATATAGTGGAATTATTCCAACTAGAAATCCATAACTTACTATAGTATATCATACAGCTTTATTACAAAAATAAATTAGTCAGATAAAGTAACTAAAATAACCCAAAAACAATGTGCACAGTAACTAAGGTTAGACTATGTTTATCTGGTCAAAAGAATTAATCATTGAGGCTTCATCATCAATCTTGTGTTTTACTAAATAAACATATTAAGGTTGATGAGTAATGGTTCAGCACATCTCTGATGCATGACTCATCGTATATGTGACGGAGCTCTAGCTTGAGTGTTTAAAACACATACAACAATTTATTATATCTGTAATCAAGTCTGGCTTAAACTACATTTGACAAAAATAAATTTAAAAAAACAATCACCCACACACACAAACACATGTGGGAGCACACATACACACCACGTCCATCCCCTGCAGTGTAGTATTTAATAGCCAATTACCCTCTGGGCCACCCCTCCATTACTTTGGGCAGACACAGACACATATCACCATCGCCCCCCCCCATACTGCAGCATTATTGATTGGTTGACCTTTGAACTTAGGAGGGGAGTCATTACTGCAGAGTCATGCGGGGCCTGACATTCGCGCCGCAGGACGGGAACATTCTACATTGCTGGATAATTACTGGCATGGATGGTTTCCAAGAGCAAACATAATTAGATCTGGGATAGGGGGACTGGGTGGACAGCATGTTCTCAGGTGTAGGAGGTAGACAGAGGAGACGTGAGGTAATTTGTCTATTTTCTCTTCCCCACTGCGTCTAAATATTACTCGGGTTTGATTTCACTCCCAGACCACTGTCACCGCTTTGACTTTATTGACATGCAATAAAAGTGTTGAATGGAACGAAATGGGTCTCAGGGTTAAGTAAGGTAAACCTGTCTGTCTCTCTAGACTGATCCTGTCTCCCCTGTTTCCTGCCAATTACAAGTTAATGGAGAATATAATCAAACTAGTGAAAACAAAAATCCATGCAGGTAAAGCTTGGAGGGTTAATGTTACCTGTGGACCAATGACATGGAAGGTCTCCTCAGCATGTATACAGGTAATCTCCAGAGGCTCGGTCCCCGACACATGGCACAGCAGCCGACACGTCTGAAGCAAAAACAAAGAAAAATACTGACTGGAGATGCTTTTCAGATTTAAAAGTTATACTGACAGAAATTGTTGATTTACTGTACATACTACCTTGCTACCAACTTAAAGGTCCAGTGTGTTTGATTAAGGGGAATATATTGGTAGGAATGGAATATAATATATGTTTTCTTTAGTGTTTAATCACCTGAAATTAAGAATTGTTGTGTTTTTGTTACTTTAGAATGAGCCGTTTATATCTACATAAAGAATGCATCCTGTCTCTACAGTCGCCCAGAACACAAAAACCAAACAGTGGCTCTAGAAAGGGCCATTCACTTTTTCAGACAGCCGCCATATTTCATCCTCCGCTGCTTGATGCCACTAAATCCTACACACTAGACTATTAAAAACACATCATAGATGATCGTACCTAACTGTGTGGTCAAATTGTTTTATTTTTAATGGAGTTTTATACAGAAACCTACAGAAGTGTTTTTTTTTTTTTTTAGAAAAAAAAAAAAAGATCTGCCCTGAATTATCAATATTATTATCTCAGAATTGTGAGAAAGGGTTTTATGAAAAAAAAAATCCACTTGTTTTTCTGAATTAATTAGACAAACAATCTCGTTCAGAATTTAATTCAGATAAACAATAATTTAAGAGATTATTATTTAATTAATTCAGAAAAAAAGATTTTTCCCATTAAAACTTTGCCAATAATTATGAGATAATAATCTCATTAAGTCAGAAAAACAGTGCAAATTAATTCTATTTTTTTTTTTTTTTCCCTTGGTTTATATTTCTATACAAGCCTAATCTCTGTAGTGATATTTCCTGGTTACTTGAATTTAAGGTGCATTGATATTGACTACACAAACACCTGAAGAAATGTTTCATCTGTGGTTTCAGCCTGAAAGAAAACTAACTTCATTGGTGTCTTAGTTTTTTTTAGTGTGCATGGGTAACAAGTGACTCTCAAGGCCGCACTTTTTGGGATTTTTTTGTGAAGTGTTTTGTAAATAATCTCAAGAAAATCTTAAAATCTACCAAAGGAGCACCTTTACTCTTACACAATGTCTCCTTTCAAACTACACTGTACGTTCTGTTTGTTTGGGACACTGGCAAAGACATGACAAAGCCTGCATGGCGTTTTTCTGCTCAGTGTTTGCACAACAAATCCAAATAATGACGTTCATTTGGTTGAGGATTACAAGTGTTGTCTACAGTTTCTTTCATTTCAAGCGATATGTGTTTGCCTGCATCAATTTCGATGTGTTTTCAGCAAATATGCAACTCATGACGATCAAGTTCTGTCAGCTACAGCCAGCTATTTTTCCTCGGAAAGTAGACTGATAAGAATGAAAAAAGTTGAAGCTAAACGTCACGACAGATTTCTACAGGTGATGTTTTTTTTTCCAGTTGAACACCTCTACTAGGTGGTACCACCAACAAGCCTCCCCCTGCTCCCTGCGCCCCTCCCCTCCCGCCTACCTCCACCAGCTGCTCCTTCTGCTCAGTGAGCGTGTGTGAATACTCCGCCACTGCCTCCAGGTTTCCCTCGGCGCCTGCAGCTTTGAGAGCCCGTAGAGGTAACTGCTCCCCGTGAACTTTGAGCAAGTCAGAGGCACGAACGACTGCCACTTTATGGAGCTGGAGGAGGAATCAGAGATTAAATAGCAGAATAAGAAGGGGGAGTGATGGAGGCTGGAGAAAACACAGGAGAGAGAAAGATGAGTGAGACGCAACGAATGCTGTGGATGTTGAGGAGTCGGAGAAAAAGAAGAGCAGAGGTGACAAAATGTCATCCTTGGGTTGACAGGGACGGCAGGTAAGCTGAAGAGTGATGTGAAAAAGGAAAGTGGGAAGCCGCCTACAGAGGCAGAACATCTAGTGAGAGACATCCCGACATGTCTGTGTGTCTGTACGTCTACTCAGACTCAGAGGGCAGACAGGCAGGGCAGAGACAGACTGCTGCTCACCTCACGTCGGAGGTCACTGACACTCTGGCATGTCTTCAGGATGGCCACCTCCATGTCCTCTGTGGCTTCTTTGGCATGGACAGACTGCTGCTTTGGTGAGACAGGGAGAGGAAGAGGAGAATAAAACATGACACCCAGCATGGTTTGACAGGCCCACACACGAACTTACATTATTATCTGGAAGAGTGCACTAGAAAAAGGTGGGATTGGAAAATGAACCCAGGCATACTTTTTGACTTTCCAATTACATTTGTGACCTTTTACGCTCTGAATATGTAAAAGCATTGAGCGTTTCAACGTGCAATTTTGTGCAATCAAATCATTTAAACCAATTATTTCGTTAAAATGTTCTACAACAAAGTTTCACATCTTCAGACCCACCAGTCCAATCGGAATGAAAACTATATATTCAACTAAACCTTCCACAACAAGAATCAAAACCACAAATTGGCCTGTGAAGAACACCCAAGAATATTTACACTTTCAGACTCGTTCTTTGCAATTTCAAAACGTTGCAATGTTCTGGTCTTTTCAACTCTGCAGATGACCTTCAATTGCTGTAAAATTACATGGCAGCAGTCTCTCAGTGTACGCTCAACAAACTGAAAAAATGTTTACAATGAAAAACAGTGACATAATGACTTTTGTTTCATAAGTCCATCCGTTTAAAGGCCAAGGAGACTCTACTGAATGGCAGCAAGACACAGAACACTACGTGATGTTTCTCTCGGCTGAACGAGCCTTAGTAGAGATGGTTATTCACATGGGTTGTTATGCTCTCTTGTTCCAGGAGGGATGTTTGAACAGAAAGTGAGTAGGCAAAAATAAGGACTGGATGAGCCGGGGGAGGGAGTCTTAAAGGAATACTTCACCCCCCAAAATGGTGTGTGTACATCCATCCATTTTGTAACCGCTTCATCCTCTTGAGGTTGGCACATAGAGACAGACAATCATTCACACTCACATTCACACCTATGGACAATTTAGAGTCACCAATTAACCTGCATGTCTTTGGACTGTGGGAGGAAGCCGGTGTACCCGGAGAAAACCCACTCTGTCACGGGGAGAATATGCACCCACACCCGAGATCGAACCAGGAACCCTAGTAAATATCACAATATAAATTAATGCACAATGTTCCTGAAAGTTATAAATAATTTACTCCGAATTCCTCTTTGTCACTTTATGACCCGCCTGCCCAAAAGCCACAATATTTCCTAACGAGTTTACCCCAACTGTCCGACCTGAGCATCACTACGTCACAGTAAATGAGCAATCCAAAAATGGAGAAAATTCATGATGAATTAAAGTCACAAGCGTCCTTAATTAACAAAGCAAAACAATATCAAAACATCTGTCTACAAACTGTCACACAAATTGTGCAGTATTCCAAGTCTCTTTTATTGAGTCATATGCTCAGTGCTTCCCAAACAGGCAGTCCTTTTCGATGGGGAACTGAACTAGAAGTTATCTAGGCTCTCTTCAAAGCCAGACTCCACTGACACAGACAGTTTTATCCTGCTAAACACAAGAGCAGAAGTGTGTTACTGTGTGACTTTGGTGAATCTGAGAGTTTCACTTTTAGCTCAGTTCCCCATCGGAAACGGCTGTTAGGGAAGTACTGAGCACAGGAGTGGATAAATAAAATGTGTATTATACTGCACGAGTTGTGTGAGAGTGTGTAAATGGATGTTTGGATATTGTTTTGCTGTTGCTACATGCGGTTTCCTATGACTTTGAATTCATCAAGAATTTTCTAAGTTTCTGGATTTGTCATTCACTGGAGGCATGCAAGAGAAGTCAGAGTAACTGATACACAAATGGTAATTTGGAGGGTGAAGTGTCCCTTTAATGTGAGTAGGTCTATGACACTGCCTGCTATAGAAAAATCACACACAAGATATTAATGATCAGATTTAGTTCCTAACCTGACAAACTCCCTATCTTTCCAACAGTAATCCAGCCAACGTCTACTTCCTCTCTGCTTGGATAACTCTGTTTTGCATCTTATTATCATACTTACAAGTGTCTCACAGATGACTTACTTCTTATTATTCTTCATATGGTAGCATATGTTTAGATTAATATTCCTGTAGGTGTATGTGCATCTGTGCATCTGTGCAAGTCTGCGTGCTTGTGCCAACATACCGCCTCAACCCAGGCGTGCACCAGCTGCTGAGTGTCCTGGCGCGCCAGCTGGCACAGACCGAGGATGGCCTGCCGCTGCTCGTGGCTGGTGTAGGCCGAATCAGTGAAGTCCTCCGTCCGCTCCACCAGCGCCTCCAGCTGGCTGCCCATGCCCTGGGGGGACAGGGAGTACAGGTTCTCCCGCAGGCACTCCACGCTGGACTGCGAGATGGGGAAGGAAGAAGGTTACGGATTGCATATGTGAGTTGAAGGAGTGTTTGAAGGATAGATTTTAAGACTGACGAGGCAACACACACACAAGAGTTTTATCCTAAGGGGAAAAAATACATAATTTATTATCTCATTATCATTGTGCACTTGACCTAGTCATTAAATAACAAGGATTGTGGGTTTAGCCTCGGATTCACCTTGGACCATCAAAGATGCGCACTAAATTCTGCAAACAGCGTCTCAAGCACATAAACATGAAAGCTAATGCATTTTTTTCCCTGTTTCATCCTCTTTTCTTTTTGTTTTTTTTTTTTTAACAAAGATCTGTTTTTAAAAGAAGTACAGGCCTTTGCCTATGTGTCCTAAGGTGACAGGTTTATATAAGCTATTAGTTCAACTCTGCCATTAGGAGCTATGAAGCCATTTATTAAAAGCAATACGCATCTCCTGGCCCTTTCATTAAAATACTTCCTTCTCCTTTTATCTCGACAGAAGAGACCCCGTCAAAACATTGTTTTGTTGTTTTTCTATCATTCGCCGGTGAACAAGGAGGAGGGAGAAGATTAGTCACAGCAATGTAGGTTTATGATGAGTCACACGACCCTATTAACCAAATCATAAAACAGATAGGTCTGGTCCTACATATTGATTCTTTGAGTAACATTTGAAGCTATTGCCAAAATCTTAATGCTGCAACCACAAATCAGCTGACACAGAAGCACAACTAGATCATTTGAGGGGTTTTGCTTAAAACCATGCTCTTTCTTATTAATATAAATGGAGTGTTACTGACATTTCTGAAAGTGATTTTATGGCAGCTTTAAAGAAAATTTGTTCAGCATGACGCCTCCCTCACAAGAGGATCATTACTTTACTTCACAGACTCCTTCAGTAAGTCTGATTTCTGATCCTACCTTGAAGTCCTTGATGCCGTTATAGATGCTGGCAGGAAGGATCTTGTTCTCCCCGCAGCTCCGTGCCTCGGTGACTATCTCGATGACCTGCTCCAGGGCACAGCGCATCCGGTGGAACACGGCGTCCTTGTTGATCCGCGCCGACTCGCAATCTGGGTGCCTCAGGCAAGTCTTTGGAAGGAATTTGAAGGGAAATGTCAAAGCTCGTGCCCTCCTCTACTCTTTTCAACGTCTATCTGCTTTCATGTTTTACAACCACGACTATACACTCTCTTTGTTCATGATTTTGTGACTTTGAGTTTTGAGTATTACCACTGATCACAGCGTTTGAGAAGCCCTGAAATTAAATAAACTCGAAAAGGCCTTAAATCTTTAAAGCTGGACATAATCCATAACTCATGCCCAGAGGTCCAGTGTTGGTGCACCAGCTGTTTACCTTGGAGGCTGTGAGAAGCATCATGGTGCATTTCTCCAGCACTGCTCTGGCTGCTGCCATCCGTGCCTTCTTCTTCTCATCCTTCAAGTCCTACAGCACAAACACACGCGCACACACACCAGATGGTTATGGGTGGCTTTACTTCAGTTGCAACTTCTGAGAACTCTCTGGGTGTCCGAGGGACATGAAAAAGTATGCAACAAATCTCTTTAAAGCTGCTATGAAGGGACACACAAATGTGACACAGATTCCTCTCCAAGTTTGCACACACGAAACTTCCAAGGCTCATTGTTTCCCTAATAAAAACAGATGCTACCAGAATAGGAAAGAAGATACAGCATGTGACCCGCTGTTCCCCCGCTTCATGTATTCCAAACAGAAATAGACAGCTCGAATCAGGTATTTGGGGATTTGGAAAAGGCAGCTGAATCAACTCCTCTCCCATCACTTCGCCATAGATTACAAAGACGATGTGATTATCTGTCATTATTTTTGTCTCTGTGCTCGTCTGGCTTCAATAGACGAAGATTGTAGATTTTCTAAAGGGCTGTGGGCTTGTGCATGTGTGTGCATGGATGAGTGGGAGTGAATACGACTAAAAAAAAAGAGAGTGATAGAGAAATCAGGGTGGTAAATGAGGAGAGGGAGCATTAGCTGCGACGCTTTGGGGAGAGGCATGATGTGTGTTTCAAAACACGTGCCCTGAAGAAATCCAGAAAGAGGGATGGCCGATCCTTTCTCCCTGTCTAGATACCGCAGCCGCTGCACTTTACATCAGCTTCTGCAGGCAAAGCGCTTTAGCTGCAGGGGCTGAATGTATGCATCAAAGACGGATTAGCAGTCTCTGACAGAACAAAGTTAGAAACCCTAAGTTGGACTGTTTTTCTAAAGCTTGAAGCAGAAGTTTTGTTTTGCAAATGTGCCATACCCTGAGCTGATACACTGCAGAGAGAATGCACGGCTCAAAGCACAGGTCAGTTCATATCAACATTATATCGTGACTTGTTTGAGGAGTATGAGTCATAACCGACCTGTACATTTCTTTTATGGATTAAGACATGGATTAGAAGAATGACTCGATGCAGAAAGAGAGATATATGAGAAGAAACCTTTCTTCATTGTTTGTTTTTAGAAGAGTAAATATTTGATGCTTAAATTATTGATTTGTTCTGAGTTTGTACATTCACAGTGTAAGTAATGCAGGTTTCACAGTCTAATTCCACCAACTGCTTGCACATTCAGAATACCATGTTTAGAAAACCGCTGCTTGTTAGATCACATCTGCATGAATAAACAAATAATGCTCAGTGCTGAAGAAACAAAGAGACAAATTAGTGCACCTTCATAAACCAAACTAAACACATATGCAGCTTTCTTCCAAGTTAGACCACATATAATTCCATTTATTCAGACAAGTAGTGTGCTGATGAATTTAAAAACAAAGTTTCTTTGCATGCTACTCACGTTCTGTCTGTCTCCGGTGAGGTGGGCAAACTCCACCATCTCATTGCCAAACTGGCTGAATATCTGTACAAATTCCTGGAAGGTGCTGACTCTTTCCAGATGGTCGAGGGTAACCAGGACCTAAGAGGAGTGAAAAGATCAGAGCGGTGCGGTGAATGAACACATATGGTTGTGTTCTTCAAGTCCTTCCAAAAACTATTTCAAATCTCGCAGGATATCAGCAGGAACTGCAAAAAAACAGCCGAGAATATCACATTACCACCACAAGTTACTCCAGCGCTCTCCTCCGAAGTATTTATGTCTCAATGTGATGCAATTATATCAATGATATGCTAAAATAAAACCAACAGATTAAGTAGTTCCTAACTTGCATTTTAGTTAATAGCAGTCTATGTACCTGCTAATTTAGCTGCTGAGGGTAGGTTAGCTGGCAGCCCTGATGCAGCAGCTTTTATCAACGCCAGACAAAGAGGAGGAAGAGATGTAATTGTGTTTGCCAGTAATGGAGAACAGGGGGCTGCCGACTGTCTGTCCAAACGAGGATAACCAGTCATGACTGGGCCCCCTGTTTCCATTCTTGGCTTAGTCTACAGCTACATCCATATCACACTGTCTGGCTGAGAGCACAGCCAGGTACGATGGAGAGAGGCAGTCTCTTTGCTCTGTGTTTTTATGTGATCGCTAAATGTGCTGCTTCCCTCCAATTACCTCCAGAGTACTTCTTCAGAGAGCCAGTGCTTATCTATTAGGAAATAACGGACTCCAGATGGAGTTTGCTAAGATGTGTGTGTGTGTGTATTAATGTGTGCATCACTGTGTGTGTGCGGGAGGGACTAAGTAAGAGAGATTATGCATATCTTTAAAGGTTGTGCCATCTCACATTTACATGTCTCACCTTGTTACGTGATGTGATTATCTGTTTGATGACGATGCGGTCAGCCAGGACGAGGACTTTAGTGACTGAGGAGAGGAGCAAGCGGGCTGCCTTCACCATCCCTGTCCTATCACTGAACACCGTGACACGTCCGTCTGACTGGGATGGCACGGCTGATCCCACATCTGTCAGCTGGGCTATGGCATCACCTGCGAGAGAGGAGAGAAGGGACAGTTGGGCGGATATATTGTCTGATAGAGCTTAATGCAGATATATTGTGTTGGTGTATAAGGATGAAACAACTAACTTTTTCTCTCTGCTACTGATTCATAAACCTAAACTCTGGGTATCTGCCAATACAGAGTACTTATCCGACACAAGTGCTCTCTTTTCCCTTATTTAAAAATCTGTCCTCACTGCATGGAACACACTGGCATCAAACATAACATGACAACTAAAACATTTTTTCTAGGCGTGTGCAAATCTTGATTTTACTAATCTAGGGAGTTTATGAGATTTTTGGTTGGGTGCTATTTAAACAATCTATAACACATGGTCTATTAGGGCATGTCCAACTCCCCTTTTGCTAGTTAAACAACGCATAACCTGGGCGCCCACACCTCGTTCTAAGACCTACACACCCATGGGCACACAGATAGGCCCAAGTACACACAACATGGGCACTGGCCATGAAAACGACAACAGATTTGGTCTGAAAGTAGCAATGACAGATCCACTGCGCTTTGCACTGCTTTGCTGCGGCTGTAAGATAGAGCCCCTATGTCTGTCTGTCAGATAACTAAGGGAGAGTCGAGTTGAGGACGCCGACTCAGAACATGCTGGAGGGTTTACATATCCCATCTGGCCTGAGAGTGCCCTGGGATTCCCTTGGCAGAGCTGGATGATGTGGCTGGCCAGAAAGACCTTTAGGCTACTTTGCTTTGCCAGCTGCCACTGAGATCTGGACCCAGACAAGAGGCGGAAAATTAAAGGATGTGTGGTCAGCTGATAATTCCTTAAATGCCCTCTAAGTTAGGTCAGGCAACACTACGGCACAATGTTCTCCCAATCTGCCTCTCTTCACCTCTGGGAGAACATATCGTCCTGTGCAGGGTGACACACAGCAGCACTATATTCAGCTCAGTGGTATGCCAGCCTGACCCAAACACTGCTGGCATGCTCTCTGGATGACATGAGACACACAAGGCCCTCAAATACAATAGGCAAAAAAAGCCGGAGCTTTTCCAAATTCATACACCGACAAAATATGCAAATGTAAAAATATTCATGAAGAGTCCAACTTTCCCTTTTTCTCTCTTTCAAATCTGCTTTCACCGGCCCCAAAAAGGGAGGAATACAGAGTTTAAAAGGCTGAAATCCCATCACCAAAATAGCTATCAAGAGGAAAATGTCCAGAGTTAAGAGCGAGAGGGAGGAGGAGAGAAGTCTCTCAGAAAGAGAGAGCTCGGAAAGGAGGGGGAAGGGAGTATAGCTAGGTCTCTATTGGGTCACGCTGCTTGGCTGTCTATTTTGTTTGGCTGGTCCTTTAAAAGAAGCTGCACTGACGAACTGATTGCATCCGACAGGCTGCTTTTCAGTGCCAGCTCCGCTAACCAGTTAAAACATCTAGGCCTGGCTCGCAAAGAATGCTGCACAAACCCCCATGGCACAAGCAGGGTGGAAAGCAGAGGGAGCCAATTCTCGCCTCTTAATCTCGGAATATGGATGGTATGGACTGGAGGATGGATTTTCATGACCTTAATAGTGTTATCCCACTGGTCCCTTACCGTATGTGCTCGAGACCCTTGTAGTTTCTGCTCACTGTAAATGCAGTTTGTTCCAACATAGAAAATTATGCATCAGGTGAAATGATTTCGACTTTTTTTTTTTCTGAACGATGAATTTATTATTCATAAGTGAAAACTTGAAAGGCCGATCCTTGATGTGTTGGTGTGGTGCTTGCAGGCAGTCAATCTTGCATGACTCAATGCATGGCAATGTCTGTCTGTCGGTGGATTGCGATGAAACTTGATACAGACATTCATGTGACCCCTCCGGATGACTTCTTTAACTTTTCATCTAGCGCCATCACCAGGTCAACATTTTGAGCCTCAGCTTTACTTTGCATTTAGTGCTAATTAGCAAATCTAAGCGAGCTAACAATGCTAAACTAAGATGGTGAACATTATCTCTGCTACAGAGCCGAATGTTAGCATTTAGCTCAAAGCACTGCTGTGCCTCACAGAGCCGCTAACATTACTGTAGACCTGTTTCTGTGTCATTTATATATGATTTATGAGAAAAAGGTCACAAAGAGGCCAATGCTTGATGAGCTGGTACAGCGCTTAAAGGCAATCGTCTCCTTTTACCAACTAATAGCCCTGCACATGTAGTCCAGTAACACTCACATACAGTGTGTGCAATGACTTTAATTTGATCCTCACTACCATCTTATCTTGAATCTTTCTGTGGGGGGAAGAGAAAGTGAGACAGAAGCATGCAAATGTGAGAATGACACTGAGAGACTGAGCGAAAGAGACAGAGACAGAGATCCAGCGCAGATTGCCTTCACTGACCTGCCTCATTGGATCTCTCCACCGCTCTGATGATGGGTAGCATCTAATTAAACTAGTGCTTTCAGCCTGCCTTTATTTCATTCATTATAGCACACAAGGCTGAAGCCTGCTTGATTAAACTCTCCCTGCGGCTAGGTATTAGAGAAATGTCAATCCTTCACTAACTAGCCCCTCTCTCTGCTGTACACTTAAAGCCTCTAAAAAAGTCTTTCTTTTTTATCCCTGAAGATGTCTCCATCATTTTAAAAAAAATGGTCAGAGAGACAAAACCTTTTTTTTTTTTAGAATCAGGGAACAGTTGTACAGTGTCTGTCAGGAGAAGTGCAAGGGAAAACTGTAAAAACACCTCCCTAAGAGGAAAGTGAGAACCAGAATAAATTAGTCGCAGTGGGCTCACATATCCAGACACACATACACTTCACTTGGCCTCACCTACACACACACACACACACGCACACACACATTCACACGCACATTTTCTCATTAGTCTATCCTCCCCCTCCCACCAGCGCTTTCTTTGTCTGAGTTTTAGCCGTCTTTATAAATCAACGCTGTGTGAGGATTAAACGCTTTGCCACGCAAGCTGGTTCCCCCAACATAAACCTATTATCACGGTGTTGTGTCTAAAATTCTTACCCAATGTGATATTGTTTCCGGTCTGCTCTGCAGAAAGCTAAATGAGGTCCTTGTTTTGCCTGATAACAACTAAGTTTCCAGATATAAAACAGTGGTGGAAAGTACCAAAGCAATTTTACTCAAGTACTGATTGGAGCGAACTGTACATTTCCATCTTATGCAACTTTATATGTCTACTCCACTACGCCTGAGAGGTAAATAATGTATGTTTTACTCATCTACATTTCTCTGACGGGTTAAGAAACTATTCAGATTACAATTTTTATACCCTTTCTGTCTAGTGGAGTTATATATGAGCACAACCTCAGATATCTACAGCAGTAAAATGCAACATACACATTAAAGCAGCAGGAATATTAATCCAAAAACAGCACATATAAAGTGGTTTTAAATGCAGAACTTCTACTTCTAGTGGAGCATTTTCACAGTGTGGTATTAGTTATTTTACTGCAGTAAAGGATCTGAATACCTCTTCCACCTCTGGATATAAAGAAGTGTTTCACCCAGCGAGTGATGACAACTATCTAAACCAAGAATTCTAAGAAAGTTTAGATAGACAGAAACACACAGCGTTGACGTGAGTATTGAGTGTGTTTTTTTTAGACGGCTTTTCAAGTGCAAATGTTACAAGAAAGTGTAGAAACACTGAGAGAAACACATTTCTGACAAAACCATCACCTCTTCTTTCTCGGGTTCAATAAAAGCCGACAGTCCCATGAGAGTGATCCACACATTCTTGTTCCCTCACTCTGGTTGTCACTGTTTCCACCCCTCCAACAACCCTCTTTTCCCTCTTTGTTTCTCTCAGATGTTTAACGTTTTGCACTTTGAAACAGCCGTACATCCATTAAACAGATTATCTTTTCAGATTCAGACTTGAATCTTGCAGCATATATTAGGTGAAGAGGCAGACTACACCCTGGACAGGTCGCCAGTCTATCACCTAACCTGCCTGTTTTAGAATGGGGAGGAAACTGCAGAAATGCGGACGTGGGGAGAAATCTAAACTCCACACAGACAGGCACAGCCAGCAAATTCAAACCCTGGAAAAAAAAATAAGGGGTCCTGACCTCAGGTAGAAAAATATTTTTCAATGTAACACAGAGGCAATCTATGAGGCAGTGAATATCGGGAAAACTGCTTCAATCTTGCCAACAGCCTGATGCATAAAGCTTCTATCAGAATCTATTATGCGGTGCTTTCCAAGCCAGTGCAGAGACATTCATTCCCTACACAGCACCCTTGGGTGAAGAGGCACTTTTTCAGCCTTTACTTCCAAGCTAATAACAACAGTGTCTTTAGTTGACTCTGGAGGTGCTCTGGTTTAATACTGTCTGACAGCCAGGCTGTCCAGACAAATCGAAACTTGCTCAAATTTGATAACAGTGTGACGCCTAAAGGTGGTGCCTGATGCCTTATGAAACTGTCACAGTTTGTCTGAAGAAATAAACACCGATGAGTCTTATTGGCTGACAAGCTGTAACAGCCTCAATGGCAATTTCTTAACATCATAAAGCCATGCTTATATCATGATGATACAGTATCCACTATGAGGAAACCTGTAGGGTGAAGCACCCTCACACTGTTTAACAACATTAATCTGTGACCACAAAATAAAATCTGTCTCTTTCTCCTTCAAAAGCGAGGCACTTGACGAGGTGCTGAGTTTAAGCGCAGCAATTCAGTGAAATGTCGAGTACGTAATGAGATCAACCAAACCTGCTCTGCGTGCCTCGAAGCAGGCTTGACCCATCTCATCCTTGAGCTCTTGGTTCTCTGTGGCGATGGCCTCCCCAACGGCGACGAAACGGCCCACAGCCACGCTCACTGCCTGGCCCACCCTGTGAATGGCTGCCAGGGTGCGCTCTGACTTCTTTGGCTTGTCTTTATGGTTGATCAGTGTTGTGATCTGCAGGAATGTGGGGAGAAAAAAAACAAGACATTTTTAATATAGTAAGACACATACTTTACTTTTGTTGTCGCCAGTTATTTAAGCCAAGCATAGTCAGCAGTGGTGGAGTATTTCCATTTTCTGCAACTTTGTACTTTTACATCCACGAGGGAAATATTGTACTTTTTACTCTATATTTATTTGACAGATTGACTTACTAGTTACTTTGAAAAACAATTTTTCATACCCTCATTACCCAATTCTGGTGATTCTGAACACCATGAAAATTTGACTTTTGACAGATATGTGGCTCTCACAGGACAGCAATGCTACAAACATTAAGATCTTATGGAATATAATGCAACACTGTACAGTAAACTACCACACATTATTAAAGGAGTTATAAATGAGCACAAACTTAAATATTTACAGCAGTAAAATGCAACATACACAAAAATACTAATCCAAAAACACCATATAGAAAGTAAAACCCAGACAGGGAACATTTCACTGCACTATGAATACTTTTACTTTAAGTACATCTAGCCAATAACACTAGGCCCGTTTCCACCGCAGGAACTTCGGGGTAATTTTACAGGACCAGGGCCGGGGCTGGGGCCGTTGGTGTGTGTCTCCACCGCAGGAACCACCCCCGAAGGACAGAGTTCCGAAAAACTCCTGGATGGGGCTTGGGGTTTACTTGGTGCTGATTGGATATACTCAAGGTGGGATGTGACGTCAACAGAAAGCAACAAAATAGCAGGCATTTTTAAAACTCAGCAGACGAGGAGTCGCATTTTTAAAAGGAGTCGTAAGAAGAAAAGCAGTTGTTCTTCTTTGTTTGTTTCTTTGCCGCGTTGCCCCGGTCAAAATGGTCGCGCAACGATTACGTCACATCCAGAGCCCGGTAACTTCACAGAAACCTTCCTCCTACTCCGCTCTCTCATTGGAGACACGGCGGTTGAGACAGCCGAGCGAGAGGACGTTCCTGTAAAGTTCCTGCCCCCCAAATAGTACCAGGAACTTCTTCAGTGGAAACGGGCCTACTTACATACTTTTACCTTAACGTCTAGTGTGTAGGGTAAAGTGGCATCTAATGATGAGGTTGCAACATTGCAACCAACTGAAACGTGTCCCATGTCCCAAGCATGTAGGAGAACTAGAGTTCTCTCTTATGCTTGTAATGCGACATTGCAAAATCATAAATGTCCCTATCTAGAGGGACATTTGCAAAAATGCAAATCTAGAAAAACGCCTGTCTAAAGCCAGTGTTCGGGTTGTCCATTCTGACCTACTGTTGAACAATATGCTGAACTCCGTGGAAGAGGACCCACTGCATATGTAGATATAAATGGCTCATTCTAAGGTAATGAAAACACAACCATTCTTATTTTCAGGTCATTATAAATAAATTAAAACATGGTTGTAAATATCATAGATGCCCCTAAATCCTACACACTGGACCTTTAAGGAGGGATTGAATGCAGGACTTTTAATTGTAGTTGAGTGCTATTAGTACTTTTAATGCAAGAAAGCACCTGAATACGTCTTCCACCACTGACAGTTAGCCACTTTCTCTTAACTTTTCCACTGACACATCTAAAAGCCTGGAGGATAATAAATAACCACACAAGTTGTATGGTTGCACACTGCCTTTCTAGAATCATAGCCTCTTGTTCGATAGTGAAAGTATGCTGTGATTATATCCTAACAACACCTTTGATAAGGGAGCATGTTGAGTCTGGAGCTCGTACCCCATTTGCTTATCAGGAGAGAGGAGTTTCCTGCCTGCACAGCCACAAGTGGAGATAACATTTTGGAAGACGGCACAGGGATAACCTACTCTGCGTGTCAGAAGGAGAGGAAGCATGTTTACAGCTCAAACACGCCCAGTCTCCAACACCTCTTACACAACATTTCATAAAATTTGAAAGAAGAGCAGAAACAAACACAGCAGATGGGACATGCACGCACGTCTCCTGTGACATATACAAGACAGTCCACCGACGGGTACACAGAAACACACACACCAAACTCAGGTGGGGCCTCTTAGTGATAATTAAGGGTATGAATTATGAATGGGTAGAGCCAATTATTATTAATTATTCATTGATTGCTTTCACTCTCTCCAGCTGTTATTGTGGGTGTGAGTGTGTGTATGCCTGTCAAACCATTTGGGTCAGGGAGTGGTGGGTGGTGATTTTAATTGGTCCACAGCTGCAGGTGGTCCAAGTGGGGAATCTTTTGCAGTAAAGTCTTTGTGGGCTACAGAAAAACACGCTGGTTGTGCTAAGCTCAGGCGGCTGTTTGAATGAGCAGCATCCTGAAACAGGAATGTAACACATCAGGCCGTCACTTTTTAGTTCCACAGTCTGAACGAATGAAATCCTTTGAAATGTGTTCAGATAGATTTGACAGTGTACGACACAATTAACCCTGAGATCTCATGGAAAGTCTACAGCACTGTTGATCAGCACCTGACAGGCAGCACACACACACAAAATTGTGTCCTAACATGACGTTAAGGTTTTTGTTATCTGGGTCCTCAGCTTTGCTTTATAATCAGACAAAATACAAAACAATAAGCTTGGGAAATTAATGTCTGTCAACTGACTAACTGAATACTTGATTTTTCTACATTCAGCCCAACAATATATGCGACAAACAAAGGCAATCTTTAGTGATTAAATTTGTCTTAGATTCATTATTGTTTTGTTTTTTTATTTATCGCTCACCCTGTTAAAACATCTGAAAAATACAATTCAATTCAATTTACTATCAAGTAAGACTAAGAAAAGTTGCAAATTCTCACATTTGAGAACCTGAACCATCGAATGTTTGGTATTTCTGCTTGAAGGATTTTAAGGTGCTCTATATTAAGAGTGTATCTATCAATCTATTAAGGTTGTCTACACACAGCTCTCATCGTAGAGGTGGCTGTGCTAGCGGCTAGCAGCTAACAGTGTTAACAACTGCAACAGTGCTGACAGAGCTAACATGGGGGAACCTGAAGATGGGTGCTACACCTACGCCAAGACACTGTCACCTTATCAGCAGTAACTGCCGTATGAACACAGTGCAGTGGCATACACACACACACACACACACACACACACACAGGACTCCTGTGCACTCACATGCACATGAAACTGGACCAGCTACCAAAATAAAGAACAGAGAAGCTTGGATTACAACCTTGGATGTATAAGGAGATCTGAATACGGCGTTGGAGGCGGGGCCCCATTCATTCCTATAAAGGTTGCTAAGTGGCACAGGAAGCCAAAATAGTTAAACTTTCCAGTTATAAAACTACCTGGATCTTCTGCATTGTTGGGCCGGTTGAGCAGCTAACCTCTGGTTTAGCATTCTGTTAAATAAAAATAATGTAATTGTGCATCTCTTCAAGACTTTCAAAATGTTATCGGACCAAATGGATCAAATCCTGATAGTGAAACAAGTTATTTCAAAGGGTTTGCAATTCCCCTTAAAATGTATCCACTGATTTACAAAAGTGTCTTTCACATAAGTCTCTTTCACATTGTAAGTCTATGGGAAAAAGTATTTTCAGGCCTAATGGCATCACGTGATGGACCAAGAAGTGGTAATTCTACTGTTTGACCACTATGTCAAATTGGCTTCAAAGCCTGGTGCTGTTCCTGGGGGCTTGACTTGTTTCTCTGCTCAGGACGCCATTACTTCACTTAATCTTTACATAGCAAATAGTCGTTTGCTGCTTTATTAATGCTCTGAATATTGTATAGAGCTGCATTAACAGTTAATCGATTATCAAAATAGTTTGATTATTTGCTATCAATCGATACACTGATAAAACAAATAACAGTTTCAGCTCTACATCTAACAATAATGTTACCAACTGATCTGATTATTTCTCAAACTATCAATAAATCATGTTGAGTCTGTAAAATGTCAATGATGAAAAAAATTCCCATCACAATGACTTCAAACGTCTTATTTGTCTTCATTTATGCTAATTCCTGCTTGCCAGCGGCACACTACAAAGGGGGGGTCTATAAACCTGCTACAAATGCCTCCTGAATCTAAATGCCACAACGCCAAATTAGCCTGAGTCAGCAAACCTCTTGAGCTGCTGCCCTGTGAGACATGACCCACATTAAAACTGTACATCACACATCATTCACACTGACAGCTTCGTCGAGCACTGCTGAGTTTCAAAATTCTTTAAACTGATGTTGATGTTTAATGCAGCTTAAAGTTGTTTCACAGCGCCTTGGTGCTCATTATTAGCACTGCGCACGGCAGATATGTTTCTTGCTGAGAAATACCGTGATAGCTGGATCCAGAAGAAATTCAATATTGCGTTGGACTCGTCGACTTCATATTGATGAGAGATTTAGAATTAACTGGGAACAATTTCTAACTTGTTTGGCATTAATTCTGCATAACACCAAAAAAAGTTCTGCCCAAAGTCCTTGAACAAAAAAGGTCACATCTCCATGCTGCAATCAAGTCCCAGTGGTAGTTAAGTTCAATCACAAAAACACATTCCCTCTGATAATAGCGCTCATTAAGGATTTCTAAGCATACAAGCCTTGTTGCTTTCTATAAAATAACATAAAAGATGCTACTTGCCGAGTAGCTGTTATATAAATCATAAAAAAGAGACATCAAGAAAAAGGATAGAAAGAAAGTTGAGATGAAAGGGAGCAAAAGGAAATAATTTAAAAAACAGATAATAAAAAGTGCACCAAATAAAGCTGTTGCACTGTCTCTTCCTCCTGCCGTTACTGCCCCTGCCCCCTAATACATTAAAAGAAGTTGTAACTTGTCGTTTTGAATTCCCTACTTTCCATTCTCAGAAAGACCATTGTTCTGTAGCAAGATCCTGACCCTGAAAGCGCTCATAAAGCACTTCTTTTGGTCCATCACTCGTCACTTTATGTATCATCTGTCTTCTTTATCTCTGCATTAGAGCTTCCCTTCCTGTTAGCCCTGTGTTTTTCACTGACTCATCGACACAGAGTGGGATACTCCGTAAA